AATGATCACAGGATCTTCTCCTTCCCAGAGGCTAGTGAAGCTTAGAAAGAAAAAAAAACGCACTTGAGATGAAATGTTCTCCGAGCTCATACTGTCCTCCCACACTGACAGAGCACAGACGAATGCGTGGAGGCAAATAATGTCAGAGTGCAGGAAAGCACAAGATGACCGGGAGGAGAGGTGGCGGGCTGAAGAGAGTAAGTGGCGGGCTGAAGACAGGGCTGAAGCTCAAATGTGGCGGCAGCATGATGAGAGGAGGCAGGATTCAATGCTGAGGCTGCTGGAGGACCAAACCAGTATGCTCCAGTGTATGGTTGAGCTGCAGCAAAGGCAGCTGGAGCACAGACTGCCACTACAGCCCCTGTGTAACCAACCGCCCTCCTCCCCAAGTTCCATAGCCTCCACACCCAGACGCCCAAGAACGCGGTGGGGGGGCCACCGGCCAACCAGCCACTCTGCCACAGAGGATTGCCCAAAGAACAGAAGGCTGGCATTCAATAAATTTTAAAGTTGTAAACTTTTAAAGTGCTGTGTGGCATTTTCCTTCCCTCCTCCACCACCCCTCCTGGGCTACCTTGGTAGTCATCCCCCTATTTGTGTGATGAATGAATAAAGAATGCATGAATGTGAAGCAACAATGACTTTATTGCCTCTGCAAGCAGTGATCGAAGGGAGGAGGGGAAGGTGGTTAGCTTACAGAGAAGTAGAGTGAACCAAGGGGTGGGGGGTTTCATCAAGGAGAAACAAACAGAACTTTCACACCGTAGCCTGGCCAGTCATGAAACTGGTTTTCAAAGCTTCTCTGATGCGTACCGCGCCCTCCTGTGCTCTTCTAACCGCCCTGGTGTCTGGCTGCGCGTAACCAGCAGCCAGGCGATTTGCCTCAACCTCCCACCCCGCTATAAACGTCTTCCCCTTACTCTCACAGATATTGTGGAGCACACAGCAAGCAGTAATAACAGTGGGAATATTGGTTTCGCTGAGGTCTAAGCGAGTCAGTAAACTGCACCAGCGAGCCTTTAAACGTCCAAATGCACATTCTACCACCATTCTGCACTTGCTCAGCCTGTAGTTGAACAGCTCCTGACTACTGTCCAGGATGCCTGTGTACGGCTTCATGAGCCGTAGCATTAAGGGGTAGGCTGGGTCCCCAAGGGTACATATAGGCATTTCAACATCCCCAAAAGTTATTTTCTGGTCTGGGAATAAAGTCCCTTCCTGCAGCTTTTGAAACAGACCAGAGTTCCTGAAGATGCGAGCGTCATGTACCTTTCCCGGCCATCCCACGTTGATGTTGGTGAAACGTCCCTGGTGATCCACCAGATTTTGCAGCACTATTGAAAAGTACCCCTTGCGGTTTATGTACTCGGCGGCTTGGTGCTCCGGTGCCAAGATAGGGATATGGGTTCCATCTATGGCCCCACCACAGTTAGGGAGTCCCATTGCAGCAAAGCCATCCACTATGAGCTGCACATTTCCCAGGGTCACTACCCTTGATATCAGCAGATCTTTGATTGCGTGGGCTACTTGCATCACAGCAGCCCCAACAGTAGATTTGCCCACTCCAAATTGATTCCCAACTGACCGGTAGCTGTCTGGCGTTGCAAGCTTCCACAGGGCTATCGCCACTCGCTTCTCAACTGTGGGGGCTGCTCTCATCTTGGTATTCATGAGCCTCAGGGCAGGGGAAAGCAAGTCACAAAGTTCCATGAAAGTGCCCTTACGCATGCGAAAGTTTCGCAGCCACTGGGAATCGTCCCAGACCTGCAACACTATGCGGTCCCACCAGTCTGTGCTTGTTTCCCGAGCCCAGAATCGGCGTTCCACAGCATGAACCTGCCCCATTAGCACCATGATGCATGCACTGGCAGGGCCCATGCTTTCAGAGAAATCTGTGTCCATGGCCTGATCACTCACGTGACCGCGCTGACATCGCCTCCTCGCCCGGTATCGCTTTGCCAGGCTCCGGTGCTGCATATACTGCTGGATAATGCGTGTGGTGTTTAATGTGCTCCTAATTGCCAAAGTGAGCTGAGCGGCCTCCATGCTTGCCTTGGTGTGGCGTCCGCACAGAAAAAAGGCGCGGAACGATTGTCTGCCGTTGCTCTGATGGAGGGAGGGGCGACTGACGACTGCTTACAGGGTTGGCTTCAGGGAGTAAAATCAACAAAAGGGGTGGCTTTACATCAAGGAGTATTTCAGGCAGGACTTCATGGAGGGTTCCAATAAGAAATGGTGCACCTAAGTTATTGTTCTTATTGGAACAAGGAGGTTAGCCTGGCCTCTGATTGATACATGGCTAGATTTACCTCGCTGCACCTTCTCTGTGAGTGACTGCAGTGTGACCTAGAGGAATGAGTCCCCTAGACGGGGGAGGAGGCAAATGAGTACAAATCAAATCTGGTCTATTTCTTGTTTTGATCCACTCCATCTATCTTTTACATCTTTGGCTGGCAGCAGACGGTGCAGAAGGACTGCATGCCATCCACATTTCATGGCTGCTCGGCAGAAGATGGTACAGTACGACTGCTAGCCATCCTCATCTCTTGCCTGCCTGGCAGAAGATGGTGCAATACGACTGCTAGCCATCCTCATCTCTTGCCTGCCCAGCAGAAGATGGTACAGTACGACTGCTAGCAATCCGTACCGCCTGCCTGCTCACCATAAGACGGTTCAGTAGGACTGACTGCAGGACTAAAGAGAATGACCTGGTCAAGTCACTCCAAATTTAGTCCCTGCGCCCATGTCTGCCCAGGCGCTCCCAGCCGACGTGGCCAGGAGCACCTCGGATACGACGAGGATGGCTACCAGTCGTACTGCACCGTCTGCTGCCAGAAAGCAATGGGTTGCTGCTACTGTGTAGCAATGCCATACCGCGTCTGCCAGCACCCAGGAGACATACGGTGACCGTTACCTGAGCGGGCTCCATGCTTGCCGTGGTATGGCGTCTGCACAGGTAACTCAGGAAAAAAGGTGCGAAACGATTGTCTCCCCTTGCTTTCACGGAGGGAGGGAGGGAAGGGGGGCCTGATGATATGTACCCAGAACCACCCGCGACAATGTTTTAGCCCCATCAGGCATTGGGATCTCAACCCAGAATTCCAATGGGCAGCGGAGACTGCGGGAACTGTGGGATAGCTATCCACAGTGCAATGCTCCGGAAGTCGACTCTAGCCTCGGTACTGTGGGGTTGGACTAGATGACCTTCTGGGGTCCCTTCCAACCCTTATATTCTATGATTCTTATATTCTATGAAGCACTCCGCCAAGTTACTGCACTTAATGCACTTAGAGCATTTTCTGTGGGGACACACACACTCGAATATATAAAACCGATTTCTAAAAAACTGACTTCTATAAATTCGACCTTATTCCATAGTGTAGACATACCCTAAGTTGACCTATGTTAGGTCGACTTACAGCCACCGCTGTACTGTCCCAGTTCTTTTCCTTACTGTATGATATGTCTATTTTTCATGTCCACAGGGTAGTGTCCATGTGTATTGATAGGTGATGTAAGGCATCTAAGCATGCTTTTGGGTGCTGTAAAAACTATAAAGCATTGTGTTTATTCTTTGTGGAGTCAACTTTTATTTTATTTCATTTTTTAAATTTGGCTGGTCTGTGTATTTTTTCCCGTTCATGGCCTTGATTCAGTGTCAGACTAATAAGAGTTGGATGTTGTCCCAAATATTTTACACACAGATTCCTTTGGTAAGGATACATTTCTGTTGTAAAATGTTTCCTGATGCATTGTCTGAAAATTTCCACAGTGCATATAAATGCAATTAGAGTGCTTAGGTATTGCCAGGTGCAATAATAGTGTAATGTTGCAAGTAAAATTCAGTTTATGCAACAATAGCATTGTAACTGTGCTAGGGAACAAATCAGTTATTGATTTTAAAAAATAGTAACTTTTATTATATATAATTGCTTTCCATTTATAGCTCTTCGTGTGCTTTGCATACTGCTTAGTTCTCATTAAACTCTTGATGAGTTAGATCTGTTTACTATACCATCTTACAGAACAGAAAACTGAGACAGAGGCTGGGGTATTTTGTTTTGAACTCCATGGATTTAGGGGGAAAAATACTTAAACAGCACGTCAACTTCAGCACTGAACAATAGAATAATAAACTAGAGTATTACATACGCTATCTAGTAAAAGTTAACAACCCCGTGCTCTTTAGATTAAGTGCCTTCTCTCAGAAAGCACCCCCTGAAGGACTCACTAACAACATTTTTATCATCTATCTAGGTGCTTATATGGCTCCCATCACTGCAGTATCAGATTTTATTGTAGATATGAAATACAGAATAATAGAATTTCTAATATAGAATCAAAACCATGAAAACAATGTTTGCTTATATTCTGTGTAAGCCAACAAAGGAAACAGAATGAGAATTCCAGTAAGTTCCAATTAATTTTTACAACACTGGGTAATTCAAGGTGTATGTAGCATCTAATTTATCAGCATCACACTGCTATTATTAAAATACATTTTAAACAAATATTTACATATTGTAAAACCTTCTAGAGACCAAGACCTATCCCTTAGAGGAAAGATACTGCTTTACATGGGAGACGGATATTTTACCCATGTACATCACAAAGAAGCAAAGTTGGGTGCAATCCCCATTTCCTCTTTTCCGCAGGTCACCTTAAAGAAATAAAAAACCCAGAGCACTTTTCCCATTCACAAAAAACCAAGGAGATTTAAATTAAAGATTAGCCAGATAGTTTTCCAATATTGGAAAACAACAAGAGAGAACAAATGTAAAGCCTCCCTTGGAGAGCAGCGTGCACCTCGTGCCTGTTCTGTTACAAGCTTCAGCAATAGTCAGAACGAAATTGCTGTTCTTTGCACTCAGGCAAAGTTTTCTGCAACTATGCACTTTGTAGCCACCTACATTTGTGCAAACCAGGTGTAAGACACAGTTAACAGAATTCAACACCCAAGTTTCACTTTCTGCGCAGGTGTAACTGAATACACAGGGTGGAAGACAGTGGAGCTTAGATAGTTAAAGGAGCAGTGCACAAAGTTTTCCAGCGTTTCATAGCTATCTGCACCAAGCAGATTAGCAAAGTCTTCAACTGGCTTTAGGTATTAGCCTACTGCCAGAGACAGCAAGCCTTTGGGGGAGGTGGATTAACTACACCGATGACGGGAGAGCTCTCTCCCCTCGGTGTAGAACATCTTCATTAAAGTGCTATAGCAGTGCAGCTGCATCATGCCCAGGAGCTTTTGGATTAATATTGTTTTGGGTAGAAGAGTGTGTGTGTGTGTGTGTGTGTGTGTGTGTGTGTGTGTGTGTGTGTGTGTGTTAAAGAGAGAACATACAGAAACTGAGAATGGACACGGAGAGAGAGAGAGGAGAGGCAAAAAGCAAGAGAACCAAGCAGTAGCCTGTGAAGAGTGTGAACCTGGATAAAGCTAGAAAGAGAGACCTTTTGAGTTGGTGAACAAATTTGCCCAAACGGAAGGGTTTCTCAGTGACTCAGAGGGTCATGACCTCTAAGGGAGTCATCTGGTGGATGACTGGCCCTGAGAAAATGAGTGACCCATTTATGGACTCCACTAATCTGGGGGGCGGCTTATGCTGGGTGGGTGTCTTGTGTGCTCGGGTGAATGCCAGATCTATGAAATTGCCTGAGGCACCTGAGTCCACCAGCCCCTCTGGGTTGATTCAGGCACCAAAGGGTGCCAGAGCCAGAGAGGGGGAATTGGAGATGTGTTGGTGTGGGCTGCTGGGGAAAGGGGAAGGGCACCAAACCAGCTGTGATCCCACGATTGGGGTTAGGGTTTCATGTTTACCTACCAGGGCGCAGATTGGACCTTGGCAGGGCAGCTTGATGCAAAGCTTTCTTGTGCCCTGCAGTATAGGCATAAGCCTGATGCCTGGTGTTGATTCTTCTCCATGTCAGAAAGGTGGGGCTAGACCTGATCAACTTGAATGGGTTCCAGTGACAGAGAAGGGACTGGTGACAGGAGGGTTTGGGGACAGAGCCCGCTGGGCTGGGGGAAGTTGGCAGAAACATCTTTGTCCTTGGCGGTGTTTGGTCAGGCAGTCAGTGATCTGGATGCATCGGTCAACTGAGGCGACCAGGCCAGATGGGGCTTCCACCCATGCCAGTTCATCTTTAGTATCATCATTAAGGCTGAGCCACAAATGATAATGCTGGGCAGCCTCGTTCCATTCCGTATCTACTACCATGCGCTGGCACGCAGCTGCATATTTAGCAACTGGCAGGCATCCCTGCCACAGCACAGGAAGGGCAGTTTTGGCTGCACGCCCTGAAGATCGTCACCAGAGCTTGAACAAAGTCGTCAAATTGTCCCAGAAGTGGGCCTGATTTTCCTGGCGTGGAGACACCTGAGCTAGGGTCTCCCGAGTAAGCAGGCTGATAGTCAGTCCTGCTGAGGCTTGGTCAGTGAGATACGACTGCGGGTGTAGCAGAAATAGAAGCCAACCCTGATTTAGGAACCCCGGAAATTTGCTTCGATTGCCATTGAACTGGTCAGGAAGGAAAGGTAGCAGCTGGAGATGAAGCTTGCAGGACTACGTCAGTGAAGGAGCCATGCCCAGGGGTTACAGCAGGAGTTAGTAGTCAGGAATTGGAGCGCAGGGTCAGAGCTGGAGTCAGAGGCGAGATGCCAGAGCCAGAAGCCAGGAATCAGAACTGAGGGCCAGAGCTGAGTTACCTGGTGTGGGGCCAGGCGGGGCAGGGCTGGGAACAAACAAGGAGCTACAACTGTGGCTGAACGCTTCGAGCGGCTGCTGGGCTTTAGAGCCGCCCTGCTGATTCTTCCAGCGAACAGGGGATGCAGTCAAGCTGGCAGTCTCCTACAGGCCAGCTGTGAGAGCTACGTTGCACGGAGCCTGGCTCTGCAGCAGGCCCTGATTCCTAACAGTTCTTGGTCCCGCCTGCATTCAGAGAAGTATTTACAAGGAATGTACAAAGTCCTAATCAAGACTGCATCAAAGAAAATACCAGACTCCATCCATTTCTGCTTCCAACTGGAACATCCTTAGGCCCTGAACTTAGATTAGGTCGAAAAGGGTCAACATTATAAAAATAAGTTATGATACTGTCCCTGGTACATATGAGAGCAGCCTGCCATAGCCTTATACTGGACGAAGAGTGAGTGTCACTGGAAAGAACTTCACAGTTGTGTCTATGTTTATTAAAACAAATCTGTTTTGTTTCCCCCTGCAAATGTCTCACTTTCATTTGAAACAAATGGAACCATTTTAATGTGCTGCTAATGGAGGAAGACATAACACTTCTTCAGTGAGTTTGATGAAAGTATTGCTGTGCAACAAATTGTAAACTAAGCTGTATAACAATCTATTAATCAGAAATGTGAATTTTTCCCCCCCAAGAGTTGGAGTTTCACTAAATAAGCATTCAGTGTATGATTAATTGATTCAGGATGGCTTCTGTTGAATAATTATGTTCAATAATAGTCTGGATTCAACTTGTTATCAATTGTCACTTTAAATCAAGTATAATAGTTTTCAGCTGCGCATACTATATAAACTGAATATCCAGGGAAAACAACAACCAACCATCTGATTTCCAGACAGCTTTGCTGCCCATGGCTAAGTTCTAATGGTGGATTTCAAAGGGACACTTCTTGTGGGGGGTAGTTCCAACAACTTTGCACACTACTTTGAGAGTGGAATAACTAACCAGGGCTGAGGAGAGCTACTTTCCTATTGCCCCACAGTTGGATTCTCACCATATGTACTGCGGTTAATGGCAATTAAGAGTAACTTCTCTATGTATACACACACATGTAGGATTAGACACTTAGTGCTTCCTCATCAGGTGCTGGGTTGCAGGTAACAACCAGCTTTTGTCCAGTACGCTGAGAATTTCACAGCATCATGGGTTGGTGAATCATGACTCAGCATGATGGTGCAACAGATCATTGCTGCGTCAAGGCAATTCATTTAATCAACTTTACGTAGGTCTAATTTTTTAAAAGATGCATCTGTTTTTACCAGATGATACTTCTCCTCTGAGTCCCCTTGTGAGAACTCTCACACGTATAATGGTGCTCTCTTAAAGAATTACAATGGATTGCCATCATTTGCCTCTATTCTAATACGGAATGCTACCACTGAAGTTGGATACAATATTGGGTTTGATTCTCCTCACTCTTTCACCATTTCTGACTTACATTAGTGCAGGAGAGGAGAACCAAGTCTATCTAAGGTAGCTATCTGGCCCTAATGGTATCTTTAATGTATTTGTCTTTACAACACCTATATGAGGTAGGGAAATATTATTATATTTCCCTACCTCAAGGGGAACAAGGGGCTGAGGCACAGAAAGCCTCAGTGACTTGCCCAAGATCACAGGGGAAACCTGTGAGCAGCGAACTGAAGGCTGGTATTCCAAGTCACAGGCTCTCTAGCCACTAGGCCATCCTTGCTCTTGAATGTTTGATACATGTGGAGAGCCTTCACCTGAGGTGAATTTGGGCTGACACAAACCAGCTTGATAAACTGGGGTTCCCTTTTTTGGGGGCGGGGGGGGGGAGACTATTGTTTCTTGTTCCAGAATCTAAGATTTTTTTTAAGTGTCTAGTCCTTCTAGTTTGAAATGAACCTTCAAAATCGTGAACATGTGTAGCTGATGCAGAGATGTCTTCAGACACTGACAGGCATCACATATCGAAGTGATAGCTGAGAGGTATGAACTGTCCTATTCATCTGAATAAGATGTTCCCTCTGAAGCCTAATTATGATTATTTAAATGTCAGCATTGTTAAATATTTCACTGACAGTCAAAGCATGCATGCAAGAATGAAGCACAATCTGTCATTAATCTTTGTAAATTCACTTATGGCTATACCTACATTTATGAATAGATAATATTGTTTCTGGTCCATATTTACTTCATACGCTGAGGATAAGCATTAAAAAGTAAAACTGTTACCTCATGTATTTTGCAGATCTGTGAAATTGGTAGTAGGGTGGTTTTCTGTAAGAACTTTACACACTTTTCACTCCTCGCCACTCATAGTCATCTATGGTGCTATATGCTGATGGGGCTATGTATGGCGCTGATGGAATTATGGGTAGTCTAATCCATGTGATATATAAAGACAATTGCACAATCGTTACTGTTATTTATCTCTAGTTAATCTTTCTCTTCTTTCTGGCTAAAGTAAATTGGAAAAAGGTGTTGTAATAGTTGGATCTCTTTCATTCTTCTTACTGTTTAATTCAAAGCTATTTCTGACTATTAAGGCTGAGATTATTGCCTTAATGTTAAGACTGTAACAGTGAATGAGAACACTATCAGCTGTTGCTGTTTCCAAAAGAACACAGATTTAGGTATATTGCACTGCAGTGCCATTTAAAACTGATACAAGGAAAACAATGCTCCTAGTTACATCGAATGGAACCCTAATACCAGGCATCCAAGCCGATGCAATTACAGGGCAAGGCATCATGATGGTGGAGCAATATCTTTTAGGGTTCAGCCTCAGCATATTCAGCCAGTGTATCATCTAGTAGCTCGGTCTGAGCCCTCCTGCCTAGGAAAGAACACCATGATATCAGTGGGAAGGTGGCAGCTCTATGCTAGGCCCATTGCCCCGAGAAAACTTGTCTCTTGATCAGTCTACGATGCACTCCTCTCTTATAATCCATGAAAATAATAGCTCACTATTTTCACAGAAGCTTTCACAAGTTATTAGAACTTCCTTCTCTTTCCCTTTTGTTTGCAGAAGAAGAAGAAAAGTTTAAACAAACAAACAAACAAAAAGGCCTACCTGCAACTGTCATTATAAACAACAGCACTATTGCAGTAGTGATTAGAAATCCCAACTAAGATCAGGGCCTCATTGTGCTAGGCACTGCATAAACACACAAGGGGTACAGTTCCCCCTCTGTGTACACATACTCCTCTTAGCTCTCATTGAGCCAGGGCCAGTATAAATAGCCGTGTAGCTGCAGCAGCCTGGGTAGCAGCAGCGGAGGCATGGCTGAGCTATGCCAAGTACACACCGGTTTCAGATGGTTTCGTACTTGGCACAGCTTCACGGCCGTTACCCACGCTACCGCCGCTACACTGCTACTTGTACTTGTGCTAGCTCAATGAGCGCTAACGTGAGCATGTGCGCACAAGCAGGGGACTCACACCCCTACCTGGTGGTGTAGACGTAGCTCCAGACTACTCCAAAGAGCCTACCATCTAAATATACAACTATAATTAGACCTTGTACGTAGTTATAATATAATAGCTCTTCCTCCTCATTGCAAAGCCACCACCAAAGAATCATCTCTCTTCTTTAGACATGTTTATGGGTTGATCCTGGTTAACTCTTTCCTCTCTAGGAGGAGGCTTACTATGACTGTTTTTCCAGATACCTAACTGTAAAATGTTTCCTAGGTCACTGGACATATAGCTCCCCTGTTTTTCAGAATAATTAATCTGGGTTATTTGGCTGATTGTTTGAGAGGGAGAATCTCATATGAACATACATGAGAATGCATTTTATTATTATTTATTATTTTTATTTATAGTCAGGTGGGGCCTAGGGACCCCAACCACGATCAGGACCCCATTGTATAAATAACTGTACAACCAGATTAAAAGACAGTGCCTGCCTCAAAAAACTGGCAATTAAACAGACCATACAGACAACTGTTGGGGAGAAGGGATATAATATACAAGCTGAGTGAATTTAAATGTAGGCTTCAGGGAATGGGTTACAGCAATTAAAATTATAGCGGCAAGGTCCCCAGAGTTTTGTCCTAAGTTGTTTTTGTTTGTTCGTTTGAGAGCCCAGCTGATTCATGTAGCCAGACATGCTGGGCCCAGTTAATCTTACAGTTAAATGGTATGACTTCAGGGATGAATATATCTCATTATTGCCTTGTTCTGGAAAACAGCATCATAGGCTAAATGAAATAGTGAAAATGACACCTAACAGTTGTAGCAGTTTCTGAAGTACAGATCACTAGTAGGTATAGAACAAGCTAAAATGTGACCAGAACTGATGATCTTTCTGGGACTCCCTTAGATCTCAACAGCAAACAGATCTCTATTTATAGGAACCTCTATTGTCTTGTGAAATAAATATATTTCTTTACCAAGAAATTTCTGTTAATGTAACTTATTCCCCGAGTGCTTATACACTGATCTAGTCACACGCACATCTACATGCGCCAACATTTTGCCTCCAAGAATAAATAAATAATATAGATTTTAGAATGCTATTTATGGGGGAAATGAAAGTAACCTGATCCCAGACTGAACAGTCCCTTGAATATACCCTCAAACTACAGCTCAAATTGACTACCCCTTAAAAATCAAAAACTATGTTCTATGTTAATATGTGATAACTTACCACTTGATAGGCATTTATCTCAATGGACTTCAACCTGGAAGGGCTGAGTTCTGAAATGAAGCCAAATTGAAGATTAAGTGAATAAACTGTTTCTTTTCATATCAAGAAAAAGCACTAAACTGTACTTTCTTGAGAACTGATCCTCTTCCTATTAACTGGATGCTGTACCTATAAACAGGACTTCTTTTGGAAAAATAATTAAGAGATCCTTTCCTGAAATATCTGCATTTTTCCATTTATTTCAACTATGCTTACACTGATGCTTTAATAGTTTGTGCAAGCTGCACGACTAAATTTGTGTTCCTGATTATTCAGGTACTATTATCTGATGTATGGGAAAGGGAAAGGGAAATCATGCAGAATGTAGAGTATAATTATTAGGGGACTAACACCAGTTCACTATCTGAACACTGCCCTGACAACAGGTTAATAATATGCCACTTTCCCTGTGCTGTCAAAATCTTTGTCATGGTAATAACCCATTTTCTCTTCTTGTTAATCTTTCTGTCTTGAGGATGAAGTGTCAGAATTAAACATTACAATGGTGAATTACAGCATTGTGCTGGTGATGCTGCAGTATTCTGTATTTTGATTAACTGGACATTCTTCTAAAATTTGTATTCAATTATTTTTTGACTGAACAATTGTGCTGATGAAGGAGGATAGGATGGCAGTGATGGGACTGAAAACTCACTGCTTCTTAACGATTTTAAATCAGCCAGATACAGTCAGACAGCTGCTGTTTGAATTTCCCCTGTCTTGTAAAAATTAACCAGGAGAAGCTGCCATTATTCTTGGGCGTCATTTCAAGTTGCAGCTCACCTCAGTTTTCTGGATTGCTTCCGAGCTGAGACTGTTAATCAAATCTAAATTGTATGGTGTATTTCACACCAACAAGTCTTCCAGGTTCTTTGGAAATAGTTTAGGTAACAAACTTCTCATCGGTCTTTGTTTCTGCTCATTTTAACTCTAATTAAAAATCGCACCTGTAAGCAGGTATTGAAATTATGTGTTAATTTAGATCCCCATTCTGCCACCTAGCCTGGTCACATAGAATCTCATTGATGTCAATGAGGTTGCACCTGTAGGCTGCACCTTTAACGAGAGCAGGATTCCTATCCAAGTCAATGGGAGTTTTGTTATTGATTTGGTAACAATTTCAATGGAATTAGCATTAGGCCCTTTGCTTTTGTTGGCAAGCCCATGAAAACATGTGATGTGAGCAAAAGGAGACTTCACATTGCCCCTTTAATTGAATTAAGCAAAACCAATTACCATGAGTTAATGAAGACATTGGGCTCCTGGAAGCTGTATTTTTGTTTCCTAAGGAGCCACATAACTGAGGCAAGGGATGCAGTTTTAGGAATTCCAGTTCAATTATTAAACAGACAGTTCATAGGAGAGGCCCCAGTGCAATTGGAGAGAGTCTAAATACCTTGGCTCATTTCTTCCTTCCCCCACTGCACAGTGGGAGTAATAAGATACCATATCTGAACGGCAGCATTTTAAACCCCTTTTGCATGAGTGTAAATGACTATACAAGGTGCAAGGCAGTTAAGAATCAGTCCCATAGGGGGCATAACTACACTGCAATTAACCTCCCCCAGCTGGCTTGTGCCAGCTGACTCGAGCTCACCGGGCTCAGGAGAACGGGCTGTTTAATTGCAGTGTAGACACGCAGGCTTGGACTGTAGCCTGGGCCCTAGGGCCCTGCGAGGTGGGAGGCAGCAGTGTAGACATACCCAGCATTTCATCATTGCCTTCAATTGTGTGTATTTTCACTGCGGGACAAGAGTCAGTTGCAGAAAGTTTGTGTATTCCAAAAATGATCTCTTTTCTGCTTGGAACTCATTAGCAAAACATTTCCCCTAAATACAATACATATCATTCCAAAGTGGTCACCTTATATTTACAAGCTGTGCAATCCAACTGCTGTGCAATCATTTGCATCTTGTTAGTGAACTGTTTAACTTTCCGAATACCTATAAACTCACGCTCATAAATGAGTTTGATTTAGCAACCAATTCCACAATGTCCTCAAACTGCTCCCTCTGAGCTGGTTTGACATTTCACTCTCCAAACTATTTACAGTGCTATCAAAAAGGTTTACTTATTAATGGCGAAATCTGAAGTGCCTATGTGGTGGTTAGTTACATCTCTCCTTCCTCCCACATTAGAGCACATATGTGGAATTTCCAATGGAATTGGTCATCATACTGGATGCTTAACATAGGACAGGAAAGACTGGAGATAAACGGAAACTGACTACACATATGCACCACGCTCATTTTCATTAAGCACCTACCTCATTATACCCCAAGATAGCATCTGACTGTCATCCAAGCAATTCTCTATACATTTATTTTATTCCACTATGATCAATCTTCTTATACATCTGGGTGCGGAGAATTCTCAACATTGTTTATATCTTATAAGTTTGCAGCCCATAACTTGAGGGGCATCGGTTTTCCTGTGACTGCTTAATTCAAACAGATTGATAACAAAGTGTTCCTGAATCAAAATAAATATTCCAAATTCAGGCACTTGGTTGAAATGAACTGCTGAACTTTCTGAGGTTTAAAGAACAACAAATACAGGCAAGGAACTGTAAAGCAGGATGCCATCTGTATGAGCTATTGAACTGCAGGGACTCTTACTAGTACAATAAGGCATACATACCGACTTAGGCAGGCACATGCATAGGAAATCTAGCAATTGACTGACAAAATGAGACTGGGCTTCTTTTAGTTGAATCTTTTAGTCAGTCTTGCAAACCACAGCCCCCCAACCATCTAACTGAAGAGAAGTCAGGTGAGACTTCAGTGATGTAAAAGATATACATGATGAAAGGGGGTGACAAAAGGGAGACGGGCAGCATTTGGAGGAATAAGAAAAAAAAAAAACCACAGTAATAATGCTTGAAATCTGGAAGAAAGATGATTGAAGACTGATTGAGATATTGGTATAATAGAGGGAAATCGAGGGCTGACCTATTGAATTAATCACAGCCAAAGCAAATGGAGGAAAGAGAGAAATTATCAGAAATGAGGAAATGTTTTTAAAAAAATGTAGGCTCAAAGTGCTGGAGAAGAGGGAAAAAAAAGAGGTGGGAAGAGAATGGAAAATATTTAAAAAGGAAACACTCTTGGCCATGTGTGAAGATAATAATTGTATATGGAATTCAATAGTTTATTGCCATAAAACAATCCATGAACTGTTGCTAACAGCAGCTAGTTAGCATGGCTGGAGCAGAGAACACAACTATCTTTTGGCTCAGTGGGAAAGCCACCATGCGGCATGTTTTGTTAGGCTGCTGCAGTACTCTGCCTGCGTAGGGCCATCAGGGATATTAAAAGGATGGGCAGGCTTTTTAGATTAAAAAAACCATGACTGAGTCAGCAGAGAATTAGAAACAAAACCTGTGTTTGTTACGACTAAAGAGATTAGAAGGGTAGGAAGGAAGGAACACATGCAGGGAATTTACACAATAGCAGCAGCTTTGGAAATTCCATTCTGTCCAAACAGGCTGCTTTCAGGAGACAATGCCAGCATTGCTCTGAGAAGAGAGACTGGCTTTGGGGTCCAACAAGAGGTTTTTATTAAAGAACTGACTGCCCCTTTGGGAGACCAGAAGCGGCACATCTCCAGGAAGGAAATGTGGTCTAGGGTACTGCCTCTGCCAATAAGACTGAAACTGCAGAAATAGCCTGGCAGTGCTTGGTGTTGGTAAATAGAAACAGAACCCAACTGGAAGTAGCAAAGAGTGGCAATGGAGTCAGGGGTGATAAGCAGCAGGTCACAGACCATGAGCCTTGTACAAAATGATGGGCACGATTCTCCTCTCACATGATTTTTTGACACCACTGTTGCTCCATTGTGTTCAAAGCAAGCCCCCCTGACTAACACTGAAGTATGTGAGGAGAACTAGATCCTATGAACTTAGACCCTTTAGAACAGGGGGGGACCAACCTGTGGCTCCGGAGCCACGTGCGGCTCTTCAGAAGTTAATATGCGGCTCCTTGTATACGCACTGACTCCGGGGCTGAAGCTACAGGCACCAACTTTCCCATGTGCTGAGGGGTGCTCACTGCTCAACCCCTGGCTCTGCCACAGGCCCTTACCCCACTCCACCCCTTCCCACCTCCTCCCTTGAGCCTGCTATGCCCTCGCTCCTCCCCCCCCACCCCAGCTTCCTGCACGCCATGAAACAGCTGATCGGGAGGTGTGGGGAGGGAGGGGGAGGCGCTGACTGGCAGGGCTGCTGGTGTGTGGGAGGCACTGGGAGCTGGGGGGGGGAGGAAGGGAGCTGATGGGGGCTGCTGACGTATTATTGTGGCTCTTTGGCAATGTATGTTGGTAAATTCTGGCTCCTTCTCCAGCTCAGGTTGGCCACCTCTGCTTTAGAAGGATATGCCATCTCACTGAAATCAACTGCAGGAGTGCAAGTTAGAATACATTTTGAGAACAGGTAAAAAAGGAAACAGACTCACACAGTACTGACTGTGTAGGAATATAATTTCTGGGAATAGAGATCCAGAGGAAAGACTGGAGTCTGTCTCCTTCCTGTTTCATTACAGCCAAAGTTTCAATGGTCTCTACCCATGTGGCCCAGCTCTATCACCTCTGGACTTCCTGTGGGAAGCCTATAGAAGGCCCTACCTCCAAAGGAAGGAGCGCACTGCCACCTTCAGCCTCCAGGAACTGGACTGCCAATAGTGTCTGCACAGCATCCCACCGATTTGTTTATCCACCCACTTTACTTGAATGTCACATTTCACCTTAGCAGAATGGCCCCTGCCACTCCATTGCTCATCTTCTTTAGGCACATTTTGTCTGCATATTGGATATGAGTTTATCCGCAAAATGTTTGCCATTTTAACCTGATGTTATACTCTACTTGCATACTGCTTCCCGTGGTGACCTGCCTCTCATCGCTCTATATCTCTTCCTACTACATTTCTGCTCTGACTCTATGATATTCTCCAGCCTTCTAATTCTCCACCATGCTGCCATTTTCATTTAAATGGATAGATAAGTCCTTAGCACAGAACATCAATAACATCCTTGAAAAACCTCAGTATCACAATGGTTTGTCCCAGTCCCCTGGTCTGTTTGGATTTTGGTTTTTGTTCTCTGGGGATGCAGTGACCCCAGGTGATGCAGGCAGTTGCACCTTGTCTCCTTTATATCAGCAGGCTTGAAGCAACCCTAGGGAGATGATCTGTTGTTCAAGATGCAGCCGTATTTGCTCAGTTGCTTTTCTGAGCATAACCACACTTGAAATAGTTCCATTTACATGTACACAGTCTTCATGATCTCCATAAACTTGTATTGAAGTCATTCTATTGGCCCTGTATCACTCACCCAGTGAATGCAGCAGTGCATTCAAACCCAGAAGATGATAGGTGAACGTGGATAATGTGATTCCTGGAGGTCAGGCTGTTGAAATGGGATCCATAAATGTCTTTGCAGAGAGGATTGGGTGGCCGAGGGTCTCAAATGTTCTGCACTTAAGATGAAACCATTTTGCAACTAGAACTTTCCTCTTTATTACAAAAACCTTTAACAATCGGTGGGATTCTTCAGAGCCAATTTCTAAGCTAAGTGTAAGAGAATTCTGGAGTGTTTTTGTGTGTTTTCTTTTTGCACATTTTGCTGACTTTGAGGCTCTGATAATGTCTATCTACTAAATTTGAGGTGTCCTGGCTTATTTACAGTTTCATTATCTCAAGTCCACAGAATTTAATCCTTTAAGCACACTTTAGTGTGCGTGTGCGTATATATATATTCCAAGAATGAACACACGGTATTAGACAAAGAGATAAAGGTCGTGGGAGACTTATATGACACTAAAGGTTGGTTTCTGTCCTTTGAAGCATAGCTATGAGGCATAAGTTGCCATGAAACACTTTTTCCCCCCTTTATCTGCAAATTAGAAATACTACATTTTAAAGGTGTTACCCCTAGACTTGCCTCTGGTACTCCTGTGAAAGTAACTTTTTTCAGGCAGGCACGTTATGTAAATGATTTGTACCTCTTGTAGACAAACTTTCTCAGGAAGGGATCCTACTCCTTGGATCACACAGAAAAGGATGGAGAATTTACAGCAAGAGGTTTTTGAGCAGTGGGCTGAAGTCCATAAGGAGGAAGTGCAAATGTCCATAGATGAAAAGCTTAAACTTTTAGACAATGAATCCTGCGCTGAAGCTTCATTACACCGGGGAATGGTCCTCAGGCTGTGTTATGCTAGCGTTGTGGGAAGCAACCTGCGACCTACACTCATCTTTGGTAGTTTTGTCTCAGTTATGTAACTGTGAAGGACTGGAAGCAAGCCAGGGGCACATCATGTCTGGTATGATGTGATAACTCTATATAGTTAAAAAATTTAGTTTTCAAAACCATGGCTTTACAGAGCTTATTCCCTGGAGCAGACTTATTGACTTTGATACTGTCAATGTGAATATGAAACTGGAAATGTTTCTGGAATATGAGTTCTTGAAGGCATAGTTTTGACTTAATAAAGTTGCCCATAAGGTCATAGATCTTGTTCTCTGGGTGTTTATTGATTTATTTTAAATAACAGAGACTGGGTCATCAGCAACATCCTAGAATTGTGGCATTAACTTTTTGAAATCTTAGCCTTTCGGAGATGTCTGAATAAGAGTGAATTATTGAATGAAGGTCTCTAACAGGGCATAGACAGAATTACAAGAAACCCCATCCCCATGATGGACAAAACTGAAACGTAATTCTTTCCAAGATTGTTATGCCTCCCAAAATTCAATCGGCCAGTCATGCTTTTTAGTTTAACTACAGTGAACCTAAATGGATCAGAACAGCAAAACAATCCAGTTAGAGGTTTATAAAGACCACCCAGCCCTATTACTTTCTTGGGTTTAGTCATCAACCAACTTGCTGAAACAACTTCCTACTGACCATCCTTTCAAAGTCTTCATCCAGAGTTTCCTGGGTCTTAAAAGGTGTGGTAAGCACACACATGCTTCTTAAAGTTCCACTCATCACACTCCTAAACTTGAAGTGTGTTACAAAATCACTGGCTTTACATTCCCTCCTTAAGCTATACAAGGGAGCGGACTGGGGGAGCAGTTCTTTAAAACATGCTTTGTTACATTATTTAAAAAGCAATCAAGCCTATTCACAGTGGGTAAGGAAACCTTGATGAACCTATGTTAGCACCATTCTTAAAAACAGTTCTAATTAGGGCATGAAGAAAAGGAGGACTTGTGGCACCTTAGAGACTAACCAATTTATTTGAGCATGAGCTTTCGTGAGCTACAGCTCACTTCATCGGATGTTTCCACACTATGCATCCAATGAAATGAGCTGTAGCTCACGAAAGCTCATGCTCAAATAAATTGGTTAGTCTCTAAGGTGCCACAAGTACTCCTTTTCTTTTTGCGAATACAGACTAACACGGCTGTTACTCTGAAACCTGTAATTAGGGCATGGCTACACTTGCGAATTAGAGCACATTAAAGCAGCCCAGTGTGCTCTAACTCATGACGCTTCCACACTGGCAAGGCACGCAGAGCGCTCTGACTCCGCGGCTACCGCGCTGCTGGTTCTCCACCTCGGCGAGTGGAATAACATTTGATGTGCCCCCGCTGGAGCGCCGTGGCGACAATGTGGATGCCCTGGTCTGTTAATGAGCTCTGATCAGCCTCCAGAAGTGTCCCACAATGCCTGTTCTAGCCACTCTGGTCATCACTTTGAACTCTACTGCCCTGCCCTCAGGTGACCAACCGTCAGACCCGCCCTTTAAATTTTCTGGGAATTTTGAAAATCCCCTCTCTGTTCGCTCAGCCAGGCGTGGAGTGCTCTCAGCGAATCTTTCCAGGTGACCATGCCTCCATGCGCCAGGCGATCCCCAGTATGGAGCAATGGCAAGGTGCTGGACCTCATCAGTGTCTGGGGGGAAGGAAGCTGTCCAGTCCCAGCTGTGCTCCAGCTGTGCTCCAGTATAGGAATTACGATACCTTCGGGCAGATATTAAGGGACATGATGGAAACGGGCCATGACCGGGACACACTGCAGTGCAGGATTAAAGTGAAGGAGTTGCGAAATGACTATCACAAAGCCTGCGAGGCAAACAGCCGCTCCGGTGTTGCCCCTGCGACCTGTCGTTTCTACAAAGAGCCGGACACGATACTTGGGGGCGACCCCACCTCCACTCCGAGTACTACCATGGAGACTTCAGAGCCCAGTTCAACAAGGCAGGAGAAGGAGGAGCAAAGCAGGAGCGAGGGTGCTGAGGTGGAGGAAGACACCCAGAATCCTAGATGCATGCGGCCAGGAGCTGTTCTCAAGCGCGGAGGTAGGTAGCCAGTCATGGTGGCCAGTGCTTGGGGAGGGACAAACACCAGAGGGGGTTCCTGGTAAGCGGCTTTTATTTTGGGAAGTTATTCGGTGCAGGCTCTTGGGGTGAGGAGGGTTAGAACTGCATGCATGTCTAGATGCGGAATAGGGCGTTGATGTGCTCTCTTGCATCACAGTAATCAGCCTCAGTGATCTCTTCAAAGGTCTCATCCAGAACTTGGGCAATGCGCTTGCACAGGTTTCTTGGGAGAGCCACTGTGGTTCTTGTCCCAGTCAGGCTAACTTATCCGTGCCACTGTGCGTGAGGGGCAGGGGACCATTGATGCACACAGGCAAGCTGCATATGGGCCAAGGCAGAAGCCACATTAAAGTAGAAGACCCTGGTCTTGCTTCCCAGGTCACCCTCAGCAGCGAGACATCTTCCAGGACGAACTCCTGTGGAAAATGTGGGGACAGTGTTCAGTACAGGGGGCCCTTGCAGCTGTTGGCTCTCCCGAAGGCACAGAAACCCAGAGGACAGTACAGCCGTGAAACAATCAGTCACGCTTGACTCTGTGCTTATGCACCATTTTGGGGCTTCCGTGGGTTATGTGCACTCGCTTAGGGCCGGGCAAATTATGCTATTGTGTAGACTGTGCTTGCCCTCCTTAAGTACGGGGGAATCATTTCTCTGTCTGGTGTGAACAATGCTGCCTCTGTTAAGTTGCATTTTGCCTTTACAGATGCAACCTTGAGATATCAGCCATCCGTGTTATCACTGCTGAGAGACTGCAAAGACTCAGGACGAGGCCACATAGAAGCAAAGACGACATGCTGCATGAATTAATGCAGCAGTCACTTAATGAGAATCTAAAATTGCAGGAATGGAGGGAGAGTGAAAGGAGGATCCGCCAGCAGAATTAGGAATGCCAGCACCAAAGCATGGAGCTCCAGCAGAAAAGCAGAGATCAGCGGATAAGCATCATGGAGCACCAAGCGGACTCAATCCAGGTGGTCGTAGCCATGCAGGCAGAGCAATACTGCGCCTGCCCCCCCCCGTCTACCCCCCCCCCCAGCCCTTGTCCCAAAACTCTTTCCTTTGTGCCCCTGTGTCACCTGCAACCCACTTACCGCAACATCCGGGTTCTTATCACCACCAGCTGCCTCCAACACCTGTAGATTCACCATCCAGCCCTGAAAACTATGACTCTTACCCACTGCACTCAACCCCCATCACCATGCAGTACAGCCATCGTGAAGTGCAGCACTCATTGCACAGCACTCCAGACAGGAAGGCTGAGTACGATAACAGGACATATGCAAATCTGTGATTGTATCATTCCCCACCCCACCCCCTTGCCCTTTCTGTTTCCCAAGCAGTTGTGTTTCTTTTTGATAAATGAATTTTCTTTTCAATAAATGGATATTTTTGGCTTTGAAAACATTCTTTATTATTTCATAAAGTAAAAGATACCTTAGCTCAGGAAAGCAACAGCTACTGCAAGTCAGCGTAGCAAACACAGATTCTTGCTAACATTGGAACCACTGCACTTCACTCCCGTGCAGGGCACCACATATTACTGGTGGCTTTCAGCCTCAAATTGCTCCCTCAAGGCATCCCTAATCCTTGCAGCGCTGCACTGGGCCCCTCTAATAGCCCTGATCTCTGGCTGTTCAAATTCAGCCTCCAAGGGTTGAACCTCTGAGGTATGTGCCTGAGTGAAGCTTTCACCCTTCCCTTCACAAACGTTATGGAGGGTACAGCATGCAGATGTAACTGCGGGGATGCTGTCATTGGCCAGGTCCAGCTTCCCATACAGAGAGCATCAGCGGCCCTTTAAATGGCCAAAAGCACACTCCACAGTCACTCTGCACCGGCTCAGCTGGTTGTTGAACCGCTCCTTGCTGCTGTCAAGGCTCCCTGTGTAGGGTTTCATAAGCCACGGCATTAAAGGGTAAGTGGGGTCTTCAAGGATCACAACGGGCATTATGGTGATCTTCTGGTCTGGGAAAAAAGTCCCGGCTTGCAGCTTCCTGAACAGGCCAGTGTTCCAAAAGATGCGTGCATCATGCACCTTTCCGGGCCAGCCAGCGTTAATATCAGTGAAACACCCACAGTGATCCACAAGCGCCTGGAGACCCATAGAGAAATACCCCTTCCAGTTAATGTACTCGGAGGCTAGGTGGGCTGGTGCCAGAATTGGAATATGCGTGCCATCTATCGCCCCTTCGCAGTTAGGGAAACCCACTTGTGCAAAGCCAGCCACAATGTCATGCATGTTACCCAGAGTCACGGTTCTTCTGAGCAGGATGCAATTAATGGCCCTACAAACTTGCATCAAAACGATTCCAGTGGTAGACTTTCCCACTCCAAACTGGTTAGCGACCAATCAGTAGCTGTTTGGAGTTGCCAGCTTCTAGATTGCAATAGCCACCTGCTTCTCCACCGGCAGGGTAGCTCTCAATCTTGTGTCCTTGCGCCGCAGGGTGGGGGTGAGCTCCTCACACAGTCCCATGAAAGTGGCTTTTCTCATCTGAAAGTTCTTCAGCCACTGCTCGTCATCCCAGACTTGCATGATGATGTGATCCCACCACTCAGTGCTTGCTTCCCGAGCCCAAAAGCAGTGTTCCACGGTGGTGAGCATGTCCGTGAATGCCACAAGCAATCTCGTGTTGTATGTGTTACTCAAGTCGATATAATCATCGAGTCCTCACTGTCAGTTTGGATCTTAAGGAGTAACTTGACTGCCAAACGTGACATGCTAGCGAGACTCGTCAGCATACTCCTCAGCAGTTCGGGCGCCATTCCCGCAGACCAAAAGGGAAGACAGAAGGTGCAACACAGAAAACATTGAAAGATGGCGCCAAGTGTGGACGGAAGCACAGGGATTGCTGGGATGCAAACTGATTCATCACGGGGCGTTGGGACAGGACCCAGAATGCTCTGCACCCCCTGCCCAGAAGCCACAGCACCAGAATGGGAAGAGGTGCTCTGTGGGATAGCTGCCCATAATGCACCTCTCCCAATGCCACTGCAAGTGCCGCAAATGTGACTACACCAGTGCGCTTGCAGCTGTCAGTGTGGACAGACTGCAGCGCTTTCCCTACTGCACACTCCGAAGGCTGGTTTAACTCAAAGCGCTCTACAACTGCAAGTGTAGCCATGCCCTTTGTGTGGTTAGCCTACTCGTACAGAAAAGCCTATATGATTACATGACATCTGCTATCACTCATTACAGCGGGCATCAGATCTGTCAGTCTCAGCAGACATTGTAACCAGTATCCCTTGCTGGAAATGGAACTACCAGCTCCTGGAGCCAGCTTAGAAATCTCTCCCTTCCCCATGACTGCCTTTTACCACATCTGTGTAGAGGATCCTGCAGCTGATTGAAAATTAGAACCACCAAATTACTTTCACCAGTTTTCCCTCTTTTCAAAATGAATTTGCTGGAGAAGAACTTGCCAGGAACTACTGATTAGCAGTGGCAGGGATTTTGTGGTACAGGCATCCATTTGAGCAAAGGCAAGGTTTCAGCTACAGTAAATGGAGCTGATAAGAAAGGCTGCCCTAATCTGTTTGTAGTAAAAAGTACAAATACTTATGCTGAAGCCAGAAAAAAGTCGAACACGGGAAGCTGGAATGTTTTGCTTTAGTGAGGGGGTCAATATAGTTGGTGTTTCAGAAACGATGTACACAACGGGAAATGGTGATCTCTGGATTCAGAATCTAGGCTAGCTCTTAGGAAGTTGCCCTACACATGAAAGAGATCATAAGATAATATAGAATGTTCATTTCATGGGGGAGATGACCAGGGAGTAGAATGGGCTTATCATGGGTGAAAGAAATACAGACAGGTATAAGGTGGTACTGAAGGCCCCTAAAACAGCACACACGAGAACATAAGTGGGCCAGATGTGTTGGACGTGGAAATGTGGCTTTGTGCCATTTGTGTGG